AAAAAAAAAAAGAAACACGAGTGGCCGCCTGATTTTTCCACTTCCGAACTCTTCCAACGGCTAAAAGTGCACAATTTGAAAGCTGTAACAGTTCAGAATCTGTTTTTGCAGTTTCTAACTGCCCTTCCTCGGCCCAGACCTGCAGTGCCCTTTTTTTTTTTTTTTTTTTTCCTTCCTGCGAATTGGGAACTGTGCAGCAGCTGTCAACCGTGCAGTTCTTTCTTTTTTTTTTTTCTGACCATTTCTCTATTAATGCACAGGACCCATGCTAATCTTCTGTGTACCAATTTTGTTTTGGGAAAAAAAAAAGAAAAAAAGAAGGGGTAAGCTCTGTTGTCGAGCGCACAAAAAAAAAAAAAAAAAAAAAAAAAAGCTCTGTTGTCGCCCAAACGAGTTTGGAAAGGGTAACAAAATCACAGGCGTGCAAAAAAACTCGCCGTCCGAGTTTGAAAGGGCAACAAAATAATTTTTTAACCCACGCGGCGAGTTGGAGTTTGAATTTAGAGGATTTAAAAGGGCAACAAAATCAAACACGGGCCACAGCCATTTTTACCTATATTGCCCTTTTCAAACTCCGCACCGGATGTAATTGCCCACACGTGTTTTTTGAACTTTTTTTTACCCTTTCGAAACCGAAAGTGTGACACTGCCGGCTGCCGGCTGTTGGACTTGTTTCAAAAACAAATCTTCTTTCTGTGTATCGTTCCAAGTTTAGCTGATGTCCCCAAGGACGAAATTTTGGTCTTTCAGTTTGCGAGAAGAAGCATTGGTTCGTCCGCATCATGCGTTCGAGCGATGATCTCCTCCTTTTCTTCGTCAATGGCTGCCAAAGTCAGCAGGTGCCTTTAAAAAAAATTATACAAAAGCACAAAATTTAATACGGAGATTGAAAAAAGAAAACTTAAGGGGTAATAACTTCAGTAGAGTCACAAAAACTAGTTATAACTGCAGTATGGGTGAAGATCCAGTTTGCAGAATTTGCAGTTGGGGCAAGAGTCACAAGAACGAGTTATATAATTGCACTATGGGACAAGATAACAGTTTGAAATTGCAGTTCGGGCACCCTACACCTGGCCAGAAAGCTGGGTTGTATGCATTGCCCGAACTGCAATTGCAATTTGCAAACTGTATCTTGGGCCATATACTGCAATTACAACTCAAATTTGGCAATTTGCCACTCGGGGGTAGTTTCCTTAAAAAGGGAAGAAAGGAAAGGAAAGTCAGCAGGTGCCTTAGGGCCTAGGCACGCCCGTCTGTGTGCCTGAATCGTCGAGAGACTCGCAAGGAACCTCACCAAAAACACAGAGGAGGGGGGGGGGGGGGGGGGGGGGGGGAGTAGACGAGGAGTCGGAGGAGGGGGGTAAAAAACCAAGCCTGCTTTCAGGAGCAGTAGCAGCAGCAAAAGGAGGAGGAGGAGGAAGAGATGATGATGAAAAGGGAGGAGGATGAATAAGTCAAGGGCTCATCAGCTGTACAGAAGGATTACAGCAAGGCTCTTGTGAGAAGGAGGACGGCGAGCAGTGGCGACTCAGGCGAGGGAACGAGACTGAGAGGAGAGGGGAAGGCTCCGTCGTCTGTCCATTGTCCATTTGCCTTCAACTTGGCTCGGAGATTCACGAGGGGTAAGGCTCGGTAAGCCACGAAGAGGAATTTCCGCGGATGGTTAACTTTGTTCTGTTCATTCTGTGCTGCGGCTGCGGCTCGTTTCGGACCCGACGCACCCGATCCCGTGCGCGCTTGCGCGGTTTCCCTGAGCGTATTATGACCTTGTATTCGCAAAAGCAAAAGCTTCCATAACCTCCCTGCAGAAGATTCTAAGAGCTCCCTCGCTCACCTTGTGCGTACGACTCACATATTCAGTCGCAGCAATCACTTCACGATTGCGTAGTGCTTTCCTAACCTCCCTTCTGCTGTGTGTGTGTGTGTGTGTGTGTGTGTGTGTGTGTGTGTGTGTGTGTGTGTGTGTGTGTGTGTGTGTGCGCGCGTGCGCGCGCGCGTGCGTGCGTGCGTG